GCCTGGCGGAGCTGCCGAATTTCATGCAGTTCAAGCGCGGCTTGCTGTTGTTGATATTGAAGCAAGTTCTCTACTGCACTGGTGCGCTCGACCAACTGTGCCACCCCTTGGTCCGCCACTTGCCAGTCAGTCTTTTGGGCACGCGCACTTGCGGCAACAATGTTACAGATGACCAGGCGAACCTGAGGGCCCAAACTCTGGGCTTGCTGTGCTCGCGAAGCACTTGCGAACTCCGCGAAGGACGAACGCAACCGAAAGAGCGCTGGAGCGCGGCCGAAGGCGCGCGCGCCTTTATACTCCAACGCCTCGCGAGCCAATATGCTGGCGGAGGCGGGCTCCTCTCCCACCCGATCCTCGTACCTCGGAGGGGGGAGGGACAGGAGAGAGAGCGGAGCAGGGAGAAGACCCCGACCGACCGAAAGACCTCCCAAAACCCAAGCGGGGCTGCCGCTCAAAATGAAATGCGCCTACAGCGGAAAGTAAACCACATTGGGAGGGACAAAATCCGGTATTCAACCATTTACCGCCACTCGCTTCTGTCACGGCCTCTGGCATGACGGAAGAGCCTTATAAAACGAAGGGGTACGAAGGAAGAAACATGTATGTTTCGACGGGCGGGAGGGTTTGACGCAACGTGTAAGCCGCACCTAAACTAAATTCTACCCTAGGCTACGCCGCCCGGCTCATATTCCGAACGATTCCGATTCGCTTTACTCTTACTCAACTCCACTTCAATTACACACTACAATACGCTGCTATAGCTGTCGCTACTCTACCATTATGCACCCCTACTTCAGTCTACCCGAAAACTACTCTACCGTATTATGATATCATGTGATCTGGTCTACCCTACCTTACCCGAACATTGTCTACCCTACTCTCCTCGATTGCACTCTCCTTCACTCTACTCCACTCTGCTCTGCTCTTGCCTACTGCTACTCCACCTTGCTTTACTCGTTTCTACTCGCATTCTACTCTCATTGGCCTGGCCAAACAGTCCATTGGCGTAGCTAGATGCATAGTTGGGCCTATCGCCTAGTCGGGGAATGAATGGGCCTAGCCAGAGGAGGCACAGGACTCAGCAAGGAACCCATTGGCCTAGCCAGGGGAGCCATAGACCTAGCCGAGACCTTGCAGGGGCAAAATACGGGGCCGACCCAAGCCTCACGGATCAATTCTTTACGGGGCAAAAAAGCGAATTCCAGCCAAACGCAAACAGCAGTGGTTACTATCACTGGGAGGGTGAAATGTGAAACGACGTGAACTTCACATATGGAGCAGGCTTGTAGCTCATATCGCTTACGAAATCGCTAAGCGCGACGTATGCATTCAAACCAAGCTTGAAGTGTGACTGGAGATGAAGCTCGGATCGAGTACATGTTTGACCGTAAAAGAAACGCGCTAGTCCATTTCGAATACGAGCATGGTGATCGCACCTAAGTTGCTGCCAGTCTGAGCCGAACCTCAGCGGTCGATTCGGTTTTAAATGATCACAGCTTCAATCTTGAGCTTTAGCTCACATCGTCGTTGAGTGACCCCTAAGGCTCACCCACGATTCGGAGTCACGTCTTCACAGCCAGGGACGATGGGCGTCAGCGGAGCACGACACACTGGGAAAGTAGCGAGCCAGCCTCGGATAATGTATTTTACAAATATGCGGGTACTGGTGACATCTGACTCCCGAAAGTGTGACATCGTCCACATCGTCCTGCCTTCCTGATTCTGGCCCTGTCGTCTACCTCCTCGGTCTCTTTCTCCCTATCCTCGAATATTTCGGACTGCGCCCAGCCGTGGCGACAAGAATCCCCAGAAGCGCCCAGAAACTACAAAACGACGACCTCGACGACGGCAGCGGCTGCGACGACGACGACGAAGAAGACGAAGAAGAAGAATAATAAGAAAAATATCAGCCAGCGTTGACTCCAAATAGATGAGACGACTCAAATCAAGGAGTCAGAGGAATCGAGCATGCTTGGAATCAGCAACTCGGCAAGCAAGCAAGCGTGCAAGCAAGCGCGCAAGCAGGCAAGCAAGCAAGCAAGCAAGCAAGCAAGCATACATAAGGGGGGGTGCCATTGGAAAAGGGGGGGTATAGGCATAGGCATAGGCATAACCACAGGAATTGGGGGGGCATAGGAATTAGGGGGGCAACGCACCAATTAGTAGGGTTTGAGCTAGGACTCTTGCAGGGCAAGCCTATTTGGAGAATCAGAAGAAGAAGGAAAAGAAGGAAAAGAAGAAGAAGAAGAAGAAGACCTCGACCGACGACATACACCCTTCTGATTGGGGGCGTCCAGAAGGGACGTCCGAGAGGGAGGTGCGCAAACCATGGCTCCAGGCACATGCGCGGCCCAGGGGGGAAGCAGGGGACACATCTTGGGCCCCTCTCGGGGCTCTCTCGGGCCGTCTCCCAAAAAGCGCCCAAAAGCGCCCCAGGATTGCCCCACGACGGCGCCAAGGCGCCATTTTCGAGCCTCCGACGGGTGCGCGGGGGGCGGAATTATGACGCCCCCTCTTTTTGAACAGCGCGCCCAAAATTGCTTCGAGAGAGCCCCCGTGACAGAAGAAGAGGGGGCCATGAAATCCAGGAGGTTTTGTGGCCCTGGCCGTGATTCGGCGACTCCGAGGGCTGTGATTCGCAGCCTGCGCCTGGAGGGGCGGGCGAGGACCTCGACAGAGATCGCCACCGCGCCCCGACAACTCATCAAGCCTTTGGCGCAACGTGGTGGCTCCTAAGCCCCAACGGCGCCGATTGCAACCCACACCCCAGCGTAAGCACACCTGTTGTAATCGCCAAATGATGTCCACACGTTAGAGTTGCGTCGGATTCGTGCCGGACAACGTCGGGTTTACGTGGGACTTGTGCAGGATGCACATCGAGTCCACGTCGGGCTTACGTCGGAGCGTCGCCGCGCGAACGTCGACCCTTTGTAGTCGCCGAGTGCCTTTCGTTTCTGCACGACGGCCTGGTGTATCCTCAACAGTAGTACGCTGATGGTCTGGCCGCGGCGGCGTGTCATCAGCGATGTTCTCGCTCCCCCACGGCCCCGTCATCCAGGAGAGCGTCGCCGAGGCACGCCGCCGACTCCGCCGTACACGAGGGGAGCCCGCGGGTCCCGAGCTCCCAGAGCAACGCGAATGATGATGATGATGATGATGATGATGATGATGATGATGATGAGGATGATGATGATGATGATGGTGATGGTGATGATGATGGTGGTAATGATGCTGGTGATGATGGTGACGATGATGACGATGATGATAGTGGTGGTGATCATGATGATCATGATGATAATGATGATGATGATGGTGGTGAAAGAGATGATTACGATGATGATGCTGAAACTGCAAAAGATGGTGATGGTGGTGGGGATGGTGATGGTGGTGATGGTGATGATGATGAAGACTTTGATGATGATGGTGATGATGATAATGATGGTAATGATGGTGAGGACGATGGTGACCACAAAGATGATGATCATGATAATGATAGTGGTGGTGATGATGATCATCATGATGATGGTGATGGTGGACATGATGATGATGACGATGCTGCTACTGACGATGACGGGGATGGTAGATGATGGTGGTGATTATGATGATAGTGATGATGATGGTGAGGATGATGCTCGTGGTGATTATGATGATGGTGGTGATGACGGCGATGATGATGATGATGACAACGGTGGTGATGATGGTGACGATGTGTGACAATTGTGAAGATGATGATGACGATGATGACGATGGTGATAATGATGATGGTGGTGGTGATGATGATGCTGATGATGCTGATGATGCTGATGATGATGGTGGTAGTAGTGACGCTGGTAATGATGATGGTGGTGATGATGATAACGACCATGAAGATGATGATGATGACAATGATGATGATGGTGATGGTGATGGTGATGGTGATGGTGATGGTGATGATAATGATGATGATGATAGTAATGATGATGGTGGTGATGATGGTGCTCATGACGATGCTCGTGGTGGTGCTGATGGTGGTGATGATGATGATCACGATGATGCTCCTGATGATGATGACGATGATGACAATGCTGGTGCTGATGCTGCTCTGAATGATGATGATGGTGATGGTGATGGTGATTGTGTTAGTGGTCATGATGATGATGGCGATACTGATGGTGGTGGTGATAATTCTGGTGTTGATGGTGCTGATGATGTTGATGATGATGGCGGTGATGATGGTAATGATAATGGTGACGACAATGATGACAATGGAGGTGATGATGATCATGACCATGATGACGATAATTATGAAGACGATGATGATCGTGGTGACGATGATGATCATGATGATGATGGTGGTAATGATGATGATGAGATTGATAATCACGATGCTGATGCTGATGCTGATGCGGATGAAGATGGTGATGGTGATGGTGATGATAATGGTGGTGATACTGATGATCATAATGATGATGAAAAATGATGATGACGGTGGTCGTGATGATGGTGATGATGGTGATTATGATGATGGCGAGGATGATGATGCTGATGATGCTGATAATAATGATGATGATCGTAATGATGATGGTGGTGCTGGTGGTAATGATCATGATGATGGTGATGACAGTGATGATGATGATGACGATGATGACGGTGATGTGATGATGGTGATGATAACGATGTTGGTTATGCTGAAGATGATCTGATGATGATGACAATAGTGACGATAATGATGATGATGATGATGATGGTGATGATGATGATGATGGTGATGCTGATGATGGTGATGATGATGGTGGTGATGGTGATGATGAGGATGATGATGATGATGGTGATGATGATGATAGTGATGGTGATGGTGATGAAGATGTCGATGATGATGATGATGATGATGATGGTGGTGATGATGATGATGATGATGATGATGATCATGATCATAATGTCATGCCCCGCCCTAGTCATCACCACCATCTTGGTCGCCCCCGACTTTCTGCGCGGCGAAGGGCGTGACCGCGGCGGCGCACCACCGTCGACGGCGGCGAGCGCGGGCATCTCCGGGATGCCGAACCTCGGCGGGGGGCACGGCCCCACCACGAGGCCCGCGGGGCGCCGTGGCAAAACAAAGTTCACGACGGGCGCTCTCTCGCCCCGTTGCGGACGACGCCAACTCCCCAGATCTCCGGCCGTAAGGTTTTGTTCCACCAGCGGTGTCCTCGGCTGCGGCCCTCGGGGGCCGCAATCGGGCCCCGGGACCATCAAACATGAATCCGGGACAAAAAGCTACTCCAGATTTCGTAATAAAAGGGAGGGGGTCTGGACCCTCCAAGACAAGCCATTTCAGACCCCCCCCGTGGGAGAACCCTCCAAAACATCGTCCCCAGACCCCCCCAGGCCCTCCAAGATAGCCTGGAAGAGACCCCCCCCGAAATGAGACCCCGCTCCCTTTATTACGAAATCTGGAGTACCCTGGGCAAGCGGTCGGCACCTCCCGGGGGCCGCAGATTGAGAAGAACAAATCGGTGGATGTCAGGGGCTAGGTTACCTGGCTTGGCGCGTCGCGCCACGCGATGCGCGACGCGCGCGCGTCTTCGCGCCAGCGCGGCGCCACCTTGGAGGAGGGCAGCTGTCCGACCCAGACCGCGGGGAACGGAGCCCCCAGGGACGACCTGGCCCATCATACACCTGCATACGTCGTCCACGTGGACCCTAAGCAGCGATTGCTTACAATCTCTGTGCGGTGCAACCTAGGTAGTGCAATGTGCAATCCATGTGGTGCCGCGCAAAATCTGATGCGGCAAACTCTAAATCCGCCATCGTCAAGACCGCAGCCAACTCTTAACGAGGAGGCCCCGACGCGCCAACCACGCGCCGTCGTCGACGTCATCGTCATCTTCGTCGTCGTCGTCGGCTTCGTCGCTTTCGTCGTCGTCGGCGCGGGCGTCGGCGTCGGCGGCGGCGGCGTCGCCCCCGCGCGAATCGCTTGATCATGAAGGATCGCGACTCCAATCCACTGATCCCTGGCAGGCACCTCCTGGCCCCAGGCGGGTGTATACACCGTGCTAGCTTGGCCAGGAAGGCATACATATATAGATTGGTACACCTCTGTACTTCTATACATACATGCATGAATGCACACATATCCCAGTAAAAACACAAACAAACCTACATGCGTACGTACGTGTATGCGCAAACACGTACATACTTGCACATATAGGCACGTGCAAACAATCACACGAACATGCACACATACGATATACACATATGTGTAAGCACGTAAATGTATATACACACGTATGTGTGTATGTGTACCTATGTGTTAATGTGTATACACCATCGTGCCCACTAGAGGGGTGCTCGAAAGGTCGCCACGAAGAGTGTTGCGCTGGCACGCCGGCGAAACTTGCCGCAAGCAGCTCGATAATTATGTTTATACGAGTAGCTCGCGCGCGCCCAGGCGCAGACGAAAATAAATGCAGCACGTAAGCATCGCAGAAGAGGGACATAAAGATGAATGTGAAATCAGATCCGAGAAGGCGAAGGAGGAAGGAGAAGAAGAAGCAAAAGAAAAGCAAATAAGGAAAATAATGAGGATCACCAGGGGGCTGCTGGGAAGGAGGTGGCATCGATGGATTGCAGTCGAACGAGGGTGGGGTTGCAACACCTGGCGATGTGCGTGGCGGAGAACGGTGTTCCACACCTTGCGATTGCCGTTGAAAAGAAGCTCCGAAGCCAATTGCTGGAGGATGTCTCGAGCGAAACTGTCGTCTTGAAGATCTTATACAGGACAACTTTGAACACATCAGGCTTCAAGTTTGGGGAAACGTCTCACGCGTAACTGCTGTTTTTCAAAGAGCGGCTTCCAAAATCATTGGACTCTATTGTGTGTTTGAAGTCTTCATGTTAAAATTTTGAAAATCTCCTCGTGTTTGTGGACCGTGATGTCGCGATCTGCGTGAGCGGTGCGTCCGATGTTCTGAATTGTGAGGGTGCCCCGAGCGAGACGACTAGAAAAAAACGCTACGGTTTCAACGTATCGCCTCTGAGCCCTGCTCCCTCGGAAAGTGCGCAAGATAACATGCACACATGATTTTCTATCATCCAAATAGGCTTGCCCTATAGGAGTTCTAACTCAAATCCTAATAATTGGTCCGTTGTCCCCCCCCCAATTCCTATGCCCCCCCCCCGGAATTCCTATGGCTATGCCTATGCCTGTGCCTATGCCTATGCCTACGCACCACCTCTGAGCGCTCCTATGCCTATGCCTATGCCTATGCCTATGCCTATGCCTATGCCTATGCCTATGCCTATGCCTATGCCTATGCCTATGCCTATGCCTATGCCTATGCCTATGCCTGTGCACCACCTCTGAGCGCTCCTCCACCTCTTTGCATCATCGCCAGCACGGAGAGAATATCGAGCACGCCAGAGAACTACGAGTGCCAAAAGCCGAGCGGCACGGGGAAAACATCGTCACGACGCTGACTCGGCTCCTTGGTAACACGTGTCAATAGGCGCCCCAACAGAGCTCGGCGCGGAAACGCCCGCGAGGGAGGCGTGGTCGGCGCGCTGCTCCCTGACGCAGCTGCTGGGCCGCACGGTCCAGTACGGTACAGTACAGTGCACTGTAGTGTGAGCGTGTGGTCATCATCACCGTCATCATCACCACCATCACCCATTATCTACTCGGAGTCAACGCTGGCTGATACATATATATATACATACATACATACACATATATATATATATATGTATATACATATATATACACACACACATGTGTGTGAATGAAAGTCTGTTTACATACACACTAGAAACACGCGCGCGTTTCGCGCGCCTGGGTTCTAACCAGGACCAAGCGGAGGATTTGCGGTGAAACCATGGGGGTGGAAGTAGGTGCAGGAGAATCGAGGATTCACTGAAGATTCAGTGATGACGGGAAGCCATGAGGAATGAGGACACACACACACGTAGCCAGAGAAGTGAGGAAGCGAAAATCATAGGAAAACCGTTTACACACAAATTAGCCTGGCGAAGGACTCAACCATGTGCAGTTGTGAGTAACGCGTTGTGGGTGCCGCTATCGGAGGAGCTCCCTATGGGGCCACGAAACGCGTGAGGGACGTGCCGTGATGAGTGGGGGACACGCATGCGGGCGGTGCCACTGGGGCCTTCGGGGGGCTCCCCATGGGCCACGAAGCGCTGTACTGGTTGGTGGCCGACGTATGCGGGTGGTGCTCCTCGCTGGAGTTCGCGATAAGGCCACGAAACGCTGTACTGGTTGGGGGAAACGCATGCGGGCGGCGCCACTGCGGCCTTTCTGTAGAGCTCGCTACGGGGCCGCGAAATTCAGTACTGGGTGGTGGCTGACGCATGCGGGCGGTGCCACTGGTTTTTTTCTCTATGGAGCTCCCTACGAGGCCACGAAACGCTGTATTGGGTGGTGGCTGACGCATGCGAACGGTCCCACTGGGGCCTTCGGTGGTGGTGGCTGACGCATGCGGGCGGACCACTGGAGCTCCCTACGGGGCCGCGAAAAGCAATACTGGGTGATGGACGACGCATGCGGGCGGTGCCACTGGGGTCTTTTTCTGTGGAGACCCCTACGGGGCCACGAAAGGCTGTACTGGGTGGTGGCCGACGTATGCGGGCGGTCCCACTGGGGCCTTCGGTGGAGCCCCCTATGGGGCCACGACACGCTGTGCTGGGTGCTGGCTGACGCATGCGGGCGGTCCCACGGGGACCTTCGGTGGAATTCCCTATGGGACCACGAAACGCTGTACTGAGCGGTGGCTGACGCATGCTGGCGGTGCCACTGGGGCCTTCGGTGGAGACCCCTATGGGGTCACGAAACACTGTGCTGGGAGGTGGCTGACGCATGCGGCCTGAACCAACCTGTCTTGAGCCAAAATGGCTACGGCAAGGGGGGCCTCACGGGGGCCTCTTGAGGGCACCTTGGGGGTCTTTGGGCGATCTTGGAAGGCAACCTCGAGAGCCTGGTTGGCTCGCGCAAAGGCTGGAAAAGCGGAGGTGCCGGAATCACAAACAAAAGCACAGCAGTAATAGTTCTTGCCCAGTAAGGCCCTCCTGGGCGTGTTCTGGGAGCCCTGCTGGGGGGAATCTGGGGGCCTCTTGGGCCCGCATTTCGGCCTCTTATACATATTTACACACATATCGATCCTGGACCCCGTCGGCGCGCGACCTCTTCTTTCTGCGGTCGCCCGAGGAGCCGCTCGCCGTCGATCATGGAGGCGCTGGCCGCGGCCAGCCCATGAGCGCCCGTGGCGCACAGCGACAGGGCAGCAAGCCGGGCCTGGCGAGGCGCCGACTGGAAGGACTCGGCTCTGCATCAACGGCTTCGAACCCTGACGTCCTCGCGTCGTGCAAAAATCACAGCAGAGGGCCTCTGCCGATTTTCGGCCTCCGGGGGGCCCTGGCCGGGCCCTTGGATCGTCAAGAGCCGAGTCGGGATGAAGAACGGGTCCCTGGGAAGAGGTCCAGAACTCTGGCGAACCACGCTGCGGAACAAACAGCAAAAGCACGACGGCGGACGCCTGGGGACATAGGCCACCCCCGTGGCCAGGCCCGTCCTGGGCCCCGGAGCGGTGTATGCGCCCCTTGGCTTGGCCAGGGAGGCACATTCGCCGACGCCAGGCCCAGGACGGGGCGGCGGATGCGTGTAGATCTCGTCACCCGAACCCATGCGCGGGGGGCGAGCACAAAATGCTGGCGGCTTTGGCTGCCCCGCGCAATCAATGGAACCTGGCGGCCCACTGGAAAGGAGCAGCAGCAGGTTTTGGGAGGAGGCCGAACGAATCAAGGGGGGATCCCAAAGGGGTGGGTTAGGGAATCTGCTCACGAAGCTGGTTTCTCTAGCGCCTCCCGACGCCTGAGGCGCCAACGTATCGAGGAAAGCGCCTGGCGGCGCGACCGAGATCCGCTGCATGCAGCACATTTCGTACCCTCCCCCCCTTTCCCTGTTCCCCTCCATTCGTCCGACCCGAGGCTAGCACTGACGTGTGCCGAGAAGCTAACTACCTGCTGGGGGGCAAAGCCCCCCCCCGTTCATGCTTCCACCTGTCCGTCCGGCCGACAATGTGTTTGTCTTGAAGCTGTTCGTTATTCGCTTCCTGCATTCTTTAGTCATTTGTGTTCCTCCTGCATTGTTCCTTCCCTCCTGCATCACTTCCTTCAGCCCGCCCAGTTGTCCGTCTGCCCACCCGTCCACCACGTCCAAGGAGCCCCATGGCTAGGAAGCGTACAGGTCAGAACACACAGGCTTGCTGTGTGAGCTGTGCGAGGCGGAGATTTGTCCATCACCACCGCCCAGGGAATCGATCTTCGGGGACCTCGGCAGGCGGTGGATACAGACATAGTTTGCCACTCCAGGGCTCGAAAGCATCTCTCGATATATTATACAAATGTATATATACACGTAACTTGATACATACCTACGTACATACATACATACATACAGACATACATACATACAGACAGACAGACAGGCAGGCAGGCAGGCAGGCAGGCAGACATACATAAATACATACATGCATGCATGCATGCATGTATACAGACAGACAGACAGACAGACAGACAGACAGACAGACAGACAGGCAGGCAGGCAGGCAGGCAGGCAGGCAGGCAGACAGACAGACAGACAGACAGACGTACATACGTACATGCATGCATGCATGCAAACATACATGCATACAGACAGACAGACAGACAGGCAGACATACAGACAGACAGACAGACATACATGCGTACATACCTGCATGTCTACATACATGCATACATACACACAGGCATACATACATACATACATACATACATACATACATGCATGCATGCATGCATGCATTCATACCTACAGATCTACATACATACATATCTGCATGCATACATGTATACATACAGACAGACAGACAGACTGACAGGCAGACAGGCAGGCAGACAGCCAGACAGAGATACCTACAGGCATACAGATATACATACATGCATGCATGCATACATACGTACTTACATACATACTTACATACGTACATATATACGTACATACGTACATACGTACCTGCACACACACACACACATACACCCACGTGTATATATATATATATATATATTTATATACAAACGTGCATGCATGCATACATACATTTGTGCATACACACATACTTGCATACATACATACATGTGTCAAGTCATATATATATACATATATATGCGTTATACATACATACATGTACGCATGCACACATACATACATACATACATGCATACATGTATACATATATGTATATACACATAACAACATTAGCATCTATATATATATATATATATATATATCAGCATAAACAGAAAATATGGGCATACACATCTGCATACACATATACATATACATAGACATACAGACATGTACAATACTGCATTGGCACTTCGCGTCATGCACCTTGGTTCCTGATGTTTGGCATTCAGGCGGAAAGGCAAGAATGTATAGCATCGAGCATGTCGACAACCCCTTTGCTGCCTTTTTCCGACATCTTCGTTGCAATGATTTGACTCATTGTCCTTACTTCGTCTTTCCTCTTCCTCTTACTCATTCGCGCCCTACCCTGCTAATTATTCCTCATCCTCCTCAGCTCTTTTTGCGAAGTCTCCTCCTCGGAGAGCCCCCTTGGGGACCTCACGAAAGCTTTTAAGGGCTTCTTGGGGCCTTCTGGAGACCACCTGGGCGCCTTCGGGGGGCCTCTTGGGGCTTCCTCGGGCCGCCCTGCTTCCAACCGCGGTCTCCCTGAACGACCGGGTCACGATTTGGAATGCGTCGGGGGGCGTCTTGGGGCCATCTTAGGCCGTCATGGGGCTCTCTTCGGGCCATCTTGTGGCCCTAATGGGCTGTCTTGGAGCTCCCTTGAACTGCCTGGAAGCAATTCCGGGTAATTTGGGAACGATTTTCGGGCCTCCTGGGCAGTCTCGGACGCCTGGAAGACAGAAACAGGGCACCCCAAAAATCGTGCCAAAATTAGTGGTAATCCATGATTTTGTGCGTCTAGAAAACCTCTTCTGGGTCTTCTTTGGGTCGTCTTCGGGCATCTGGTGGGTGTCTGGGGCCTCTTGGAGCCCGTGGGACCTTCTTGCACGGGCGTACAGGGGGCCCCCGGGGCCACAAACCTGACCGCACAAGAACGGGAAGCGCCGTTTTTGCTCATAGCAGTGTTTGTCGTCAAAGCTCTGGACGCCAGCGTTCGTACTGGGAGCTCTGGCGTTCGAAGCTGCCCACGTCATCGTTCGTAATGGAGCCTTGGGAATGTCGTGGTCGGTCTCTCGTAGGCCTCTTAGAAGCAATTCTGAAGCCTCTTGGGGGCCGTTTTTGGGGGCCGTCTTGGGGGCATCTTGGAGGCCTTTTTGGGGCCTCTTGGGGGCCTCTTGGAGCGTCTTGGGGGGCTCCCGGGGGCCTCCTGGACCCTCCGGGGGGGCACGTGGGGCCGAGGACCCGAAAAGTCCGTTCGTGTACCTCGTCTGGGCCCCCTTTAGGAGCCATATTGACGGCCTCTTGGGCCGCCGCGAAGCCTCTTGGGGCCGTCTTGGGGCCGCCTTGGGGCCTTCTGGTGCCTTCTTGGGGCCGTCTTGGGGGCCTCTTGGGCCGTCTTGAGGCGATCTTGGGGGCCTCTTGGGCCGTCTTGGGGCGATCTTGGGGGCCTCTTGGGCCGTCTTGGAGCGTCGGGAAACGGAAAAGGCGAGAACCCCAAAAACCTGCAAAAACTATTCAAGCATCATAGATTTGTGCCTCTTTGGCGCTCTTGTGAGGCCTCTTCGAAGCCTCTTGAGGCGTCTTGGAGGCCTCTTGAGGGCCTCCTGGGCCGTCTTGGAGCTCTCTTGGACCGTCTGGAAGCCATCTTAGGGCATCTTGGAGCGCTCTAGGGCGGTCTTGGAGCGCTCTTGGGCCGTCTTGGAGCCCTGGTGGCCGTCTTGGGCGCGTCTTGGTCAGATTTTTTGAGCGGAGTGACAATTTTTCCGCAATTTTCCGCAATCCGCCAGCGAGGTGCGGGATGCGATCGGTACCCTTTAATGGAGCCCGTGGGACCTTCTTGCACGGGCGTACAGGGGGCCCCCGGGGCCACAAATCCGGGGGGTCCTGTTTTTCGGGGGGGTAGGGGGGGGGTTCTCCCCCCTCCCCCCCGGCTTGCAAAAATATAAAGAAAAGGATCCGCCACCGTGCCGCTGGGCACAGAGTAGGCGCGTCCTCAAGTCCTTTGCCCAATCCCCTGAGCCTCAACCCTCAAATTCTCTGGGCCTCAATCCTCAGTCATGAGGAATAGTTTCGGGGCCCTGACCCCGAATTCTCAGATCTTCTGGGGCGTGGCGCGCTTCCCCTGGGTGTTGGATCGTCTCCCCGCGTGACTTGTTCGGGCCGAAGAGGGCGCCAAGACAGGCCCGGAGGGCCCCAGGATGCCTACGAGACGGCCGAAGAGGACCCCGAGTCGCCGAAAGATCGCCCCAAGACTCCGAAGATGGCCTCAATATGGCCCAATAGGCCTCCAAGGCGCCCCAAGAGGCCTCCAAGAGGCCTCCCAAAAGGGCCCCAAGAGGCAAAAATGATCCTGGCGAACGACATCATGTGCAATTGTGAATACCGCTTTGTGGGTACCGACCGCTTTCGGTGGAGCTCCCTGTGGGGCCACGAAACATAAAAGGGGTGTGCCGAAATGGGCGCGATGATGCCATACGGGCGCTGGCCTTGGGCCTTCGGTGGAGCTCCCTATAGGGGCCACGAAACGCGCGAGGGGTGTGCCGCAACGGGTGCGGTGGTGCCATGCGGGCACTGCCAGTGGGGCCCTTGGTGGAACTCCACATGGGGCCACGAAACGTGTGAGGGGTGCCATGTGAACACAGCCACTGGGGCCCTCGGTGGAACTTCCTACAGGGCCGCGACACGTGTGACAGGTGCGACGAAATAGGTGCGGTGGTGCCATGAGAGCCCTGACGGGCCTCCGATGGACCTTCCTATGGGGCCACGAAACGTGTGAGGGGTGTGCCGAAACGGGCGCGTGGTGCCATGCGCGCGCAGCCACTGGGGCCCTCGGTGCAACTCCTACGGGGCCACGAAACGTGTAAGGGGTGTGCCAAAACGGGCGCGGCGGTGCCATGCGAGCGCAGCAGCTGTGGCCCTCGGCGGAGCTCCTTATGGGGACACGAAACGTGTAACGGGTGTGCCGAAACGGGCGCGGTGGTGCCATGCGAGCGCAGCCACTGGGGCCTTCGGTGGACCTCCTTATGGGGACACGAAATGTGTGAGGGGTGTGCTGACATGGGCGC